AGTTAAGCCGAGGGCTGCAACAAAGAAAAGAAGGGTTCCTATTTGTATCTCCCCTAAGAGATGAGGTTCATGGGAAACTTCAGCGAGAGGATATGGTTCAAGAAGAAATGCAGCTTCTCAACAAACATCACCAAGGCAAAGCAGTAGTACTCAAACAACGTCTCAACCGCGAACACAGATCATCCTAGCATCAGTGAGAAGGAAGGTGGATTTTCAGAATCCACCCACTCCAATTCCTTAAAAATTCTCAGCTGCAACTGTCAAGGGTTAGAGAATCCCATGACATCCCATAACCAAAACGAGATCTACAAACGGTATTCTCCTGATACCTATTTCTCTCAAAGACAAAGAATCCTAACGATTTTGTCCTCCAAAAATGTGACTCGTTGGGCTATAAAAACTTTCTTCTGATCCCACCTCAAGGCCATGGGAGTGGTGGCTTAACTCTGTTCTGAAAACCTGGAATCCAACTCAATCTATTAGACTCTTGTAAGAACTTCATCAATGCGGTTATAAATTATGAAAACAAGGTCTTTCGAGCTAATTTATTTATGGTGACCCTAAACCAATTCAAAGAAGAAACACTTGGTCAAAGCTGACCAATGACGCTGTTAACAGAGAGGAAGCTTGGTTCCTCATTGGTGATTTTAACGACATTACTAACAGTCAAGAGAAGACTGGGGGCCGAGATAGATTAGAAGGATCTTTTGGAGAGTTAAGAACTTTTTTAGCAGAAAACGATCTTTATGATAATCCCCATACGGGGGACTTCTTATCCTGGAGAAAGGTTCGAGGTGATGATGTTATTAGATGCACGCTGGATAGAGCCATTGCTAATAGCTATTGGATTGATCTTTTCCACTCCAGTAGTGTTGAGTACCTCCCCTACAAAGGATCAGACCACATACCCATCTTGGCATGCTTTGATCTCACAAAGAAGAAAGGAAAAGGTCTCTTTTGATTTGACAGAAGATTGAATGATAATCCAGAAGTCAAATCTCTGGTGGAGGAGACTTGGAAGAAAGCAGGAAAAAACGTTGTCCAATTTAAGATAAGCCAAACAAGAAAAGCCATTGTTCAGTGAAACAAGGAACAACAGAGAAACAACAAATTACTTATCAACAAGTGGAAAGACGACCTTGAGAAGGCCATGACAAGCCAAAAAAACGACAAATAACTACTCCAAAAACTAAACTCTGACTTAAGAGCAGCTTACATCGCTGAAGAAGCGTTTTAGAAACATAGAAGTAGAAACCTTTAGCTAAGCTTAGGAGATCAGAATTCGGGGTACTACCATGCGATCACAAAAGGAAGGAATTCTATAAATAATTTTTCTGTGATAGAAAAATCTGAAGGGGAGCAAGTCTTCACCGAAGAAGAGATAACAACAACAATTGTGGAGTACTTTAATTCCTTATTCCAATCAGTCCCTGGAGAAAAAATGCAGATACTCTCTGAAGCTCTTACACCTAAGATTACCCCTGCGGAGAATGACTCTCTTCTCTCTATCCCAACGGAAAATGAAGTGCATTTGGCTCTACTTGCAATTCATCCGGACAAAGCTTCTGACCCAGATGGATTTTCTGCAAGTTTCTTCCATGCAAACTGGAACTCCGTTGGCCCTGATATAGTAAAGGAGATTCAAACCTTCTTTATGTCTGGTATAATGCCGAGAACCTTAAATCACACTCATGTTATACTGATTCTGAAGAACACATGGGCCAAATCGGTTGGAGATTATAGACCAATTGCACTTTGCAATGTCAACTACAAGATAATCTCCAAACAATTAGCCCAAAGGCTGAAACAAGTTCTTCCAGACCTAATCTCGGAGAACCAATCAGCATTTGTACAAGAAAGAGCAATCACCGATAAAATTCTTATCTCACATGAGGTACTACACTTTCTCAAGACATCACAAACCACGAAGCACTGCTCTATGGCAGTTTAAACTAACATAAGCAAGGTCTATGATAGGCTTGAATGGAACTTCATTGAAGCTATTTTCCAACAACTAGGATTCCATCTGCACTGCACCAACCTCATCATGCAATGTATCAAGACGGTCTCCTACTCCTTCCTTATCAATGGTCTGTTCAAGGGATGGTTAAACCCCCAAAGAGGAATAAGGCAGGGAGACCCTCTCTCACCGTATATTTCCATTCTCTGCAGTGAGGTCTTATCGAGACTTTGTAGGAAAGCTCAAGAGGGAAATAAACTAAATAAAATTGGGTGGGTACTAATACCCCTCGAATAAACCATCTCATGTTTGATGATGACACACTCTTTTTTTTTTTTTGTAGAACGAGAAATAAAAATGTTTCTACGCTTCTGAAGATCCTCTCCCTCTATTAACTTTTCCTCAATCTCTGTGTAAAAGAATCCAATCTGCCTTAACTAGATTTTGGTTGGATCCAAAAGCGGGAATCCGCGGAATGTCACTAATATCCTAAAACACAATGATGAAATCCAAAAGAGATGGGGGGTTGGGATTTAGGGATATACAAAGATTTAATGATGCTCTACTTGCCAAAGTGAGTTGGCGGATACTGACCTCCCCTTCATGCCTCCTAGCCCTTGTGTTGTCGGGCAAAAACTTTCCAAACCAAAAATTCTTACAGGTTGAAGCATAAGCATCTTGCTCCCACATATGGAGAGGAATCCTGATAGGTAGAGACCTTATCAAGGAACACTTAGGGTGGGCTATTGAAGATGGACAACATGCAAAAGCTTGGAAAGAACCCTGATTGTTCTCAAATAGAAATGGAACCCCAATGGGACCTATACTGAGCTTGATTTGGAGTTGAGAGTGGCTGATCTTTTCACGGATCAAACAAGAGAATGGAACGTGGAAAAAATAAAGAATCACTTCCCGTTTCTATCAGACACAATTAGGTCAATTAAGCCTAGCAAGTGGGGAGAACAAGATAAACAGATTTGGCTCAACCAATCTTCAGGAGTATACTCTGCAAAGCTAGGCTACTTTGCAGCTTTAGAGAAAAACCGACCTGATATCCTAACAGCTCAAGAGTCTAATCAGGAATGGGTAAAAGTAATATGGGATGTAAAATGGCTCCTAAGCAAATATTACTACTTCAGGATATCTTACATAGAGCTTTGCCAGTGGGGGAGTTACTAATTTCAAGGCAAATCCTATCTACGTCTAAATGCAGCAGATGTGAGGAGTCAGAATCTATTACTCATCTGTTTTTCAGTGCTCTTATGCACAAAAGGTATGGGAGTTAGCCCCCGTTGCAAGAGCCCTCAACCCGCTTCAAGTACTATCCTTTGATGTAGGATGGAAAACAGCTCTGACCTCTACGACTCTTCCCCCTATTGGGCTCAATGATTTCCCTCTGGCCCCATGGATCATCTCTGCGATATGGACATCAAGGAATTACTTGACTTTCAAAAACGAGTCTTTTCACCCAAAGAAATGATCCTTAAAGCAATTTGTGATGCAAAGGAACGGAAGGAAGCTTAATCTGTTCTTGATATCAAAGTAAAAATGTCTGATGTCCCCAGACTTACTCTTGGAATCGAGATTACATGCAGATCCGATGCGGCATGGAAGAAAGGGAATTGTGCTGCGGGCTTGGCTTGGGCGTTCTATGATAACCAGAATGAGAGATTATACTCTCAAAGTGATACTTTTGCGCTTGTGATCTCGTCTCTTGCGGCGGAAGAAATAGCAATGCGTTCAGCGATAGAATGTGCAATCTCTTTACAGTTGAGGAAGGTGGCCTTTGAATCCGATTCCCTGCAGTTGATTAACGCAATTTAGAGGAAGACAAGCTTCTCCGACCTTCAGGGATGGTCTTGCAAAAAAAGTCCTTAGTGGCGCTGTACTGAACCCGATTTAATCGTTAAAATGAATTTTCATGTGCACAAAAAAGATCAAATGATATCTATTTTAAATCTGATTTTTTTTCTCTGATTAAGTCATTGTAAATCCACAAAAATCAAAAAAATAATATGATTTAACGTTAGACTTTTTGTGTATCAGAAATAGCAAATACAATATAAAGATTAAAACATAATTTTTTAAAATTAAAGAATAAAATAATAAAATAAATCATTTTTTTCTTTTCAGTTTTATCTATTTTTATTTAGTTGCATCTTCAAATCCAACTTTCCAAAGTTTTTTGTTCATTTTATTATAGTAATTATTAACGATCTTAGTACCACGAGTTGATAAACCGCAAATGATCGGTGTCTTAACAAAATCATTCTCAAAACAAAGTCCTAGTCTTAAGTATTAATGTTTAATATAGCTTTTGATATATGTTTAAGTATTGAGAGTTTATATTCTTTACTTAGTTATAATTTCAAGATAGAATATTTAAATCATTCTTATAGTAAAATGTTAATGATTTTAGCATCAAAACTTTAAGAACTGCAAATGATTGATATCCTTAAAAAACTATTCTCAATGACTTGCCAACATGTAATCGGATTCTTATTTTACGCTATGCGTTTTCTTCAATATTGATCCAAAAGTTACGCAATTTAATTCATAAAACTAAAATCAGATATCAAAAGCTATATCAAGCAATATTAATACTAAAACGTTGTCAAAATCCTTTGAGATTGATTTTGTTAGGACATCTGTCATTAACAATCAATATATATAATGAGGGAGTTTTTGCCTCTCCCTCAAGTAGCCACGTCATCAAGACTTGAAGTTTGTGTGGGTCCCATTTATTGTACGGTTTAGTTTGGTCGATTGGGTTAAGAGTTTGGTCTGATAAATTAGTGAAATTCTGCGTTCTGTTTTGTGCTTCACCCGATTAGGGCTTCTATGTTATCCTCTTTCCAGAACTTAATCTCGCCGTCTCCGCTTTACAAAATCTCATCTCTTTGTCTCCCCAGTCGCTATCTCTTGATCTTCCATGTGGTTCAATGTATTTTTTTTTTTTTAATTCAGCCATAACCGTTATTCACATTGAATCCAGTATCCATGTTGACGCCTCTGTTTCCTTCATATCAAATCTAAAAATATGAACAGGCAACCACGATGGATGTTCAGAACCGCTTTCAGATTATCACCGAAGGAAGAGCTGCAGAGCAATGTTTCTGTGGAAAGTTCTTCACCCACGAGGATGACTCAAGGAGCATAACTACTTGGGGCTCTCTGATTGTTCTTCTTATTCTGTTGGAAGCTCAATTCTCTCGGGCCTTGCTGAAGATGACAAAGCTGCTATTAGTTTCAAGGGTACGGAGTTGACACTTGGCCTTCCTGGATCAGGATCTCCTGTTAAAGACACGGATCTCCACTTACTGTACTCTAAAAAGCTCGATGAAAAAACCTTCTTTCCTTTGGTTCCTTTGAAATATGAGATTTCCTCCTCCTCGTCGGTGAAGAAAACATTGCCTCGGGGAACAAAAGAGGCTTCTCAAAGCTCATGCTATGAGGCTTCTCAAGCAGATGAAAATGTAAAGAGATATTCATTTAGGTTTTAATCATTAGCTATTGTTAATCATTTAACATTACTTTCTTAATTAGGTATGAAGGATGCTGTGTGTATATATTTATATCTCTCTTTGTTTCTTAACCGTTGTGAAAAAGATTCTGCGGACCTTTTTGGTAAAGTTAGCATGGATGGGGCTCCTTATCTAAGGAAACTTACCTGAGGAGCTACACTAACTACATGGAGCTTTCTTCAGCCTTGTAGAAAATGTTCACCACTTTTACTCGAGATGTTTATGTGATTCCTATAATGATGCTTTGTTAGAAATCTCATGGTAGATCTATGAGTGTAATGGATTATTTGGTGTTTAGGTCAATGCGGATCTAATAACGGAGCTACATGGAAGGATAAGCTCTGTGAGACCAAACTCAAGGATCTTCTGAATGTAAAATACTATGTGCTCACGTATGAAGACGAGGAAGAAGATTGGATGCTTGTTGGAGATGTTCCATGGGAGTAAGTTTTATTTCTTATTTTTGAAAATTTCTTAGAAACTTTTATGCTCTTCGAATAAAAATGTAGCATGCATTAGAAAGATACTAACTGGGATTTGATTATTCTAATCTACAGGATGGTTACTGGTGTCTACAAGAAGCTGAAGATAAAGAAAGGCTTTGATGCCAATGGATTAGGTAAGTTTTTGTTTCACTTGGTTCCCAAAATACAACTCAACTCTGCAGTACCTTTCTGGATATTATATTTGAGATCAATTAGAAATGGGATAAGATGATATTAGTGGGTTGTTAGGTGCTTGATGATGATCACTTGCTTGCTTTTGTGAGTAAGCACAACAAGTTAACATATTTAATGTGCTCTAAAGTGCCAGAAAAATAGTCTCAAGCCCTTAGGAGTTAGGTCTGATATATGATTCTTAATTTCCTATTGTATAATGTTTCATGTTTGCAGCTGCATCTCCGAGAGCAATGATTCAGAAGCTTTGTAATTAATACATAATATGTGCGGTTGAGATTATCCTTTTTGGTTGTGTTTTTAAATTTCAAAACATCTTTAGGTTGTGATTTTTTTTTTTTAAATAAAAACTACGTATGTAAGAATTGACCGCTTTTTTTTGTCATCGGATTGACTACGCTTTAGTGGATCCAATAAACTGGTCGCCGTTTCCACAAGTTAACATGCTCTCTCTATATTAGACTTTGCAATGTTTTCCATTTTTCCTTTTTTTTTGTTATTTTTTCCAGCAACAATAGAACAGTTTCTGAGATTAAATATTTTTAAAAGATGGTTGACATCAACTATTCATATTCAGCTTACCAAACTGCACAACTGCATGTTTGCAGAGTAAAACACACGTCATGTAAATTTTGCATTGACCCTATTTTACGTCCATTATATTAACTATTGAATAGAAAAAGTAAGAGAAATTTGGGCCAATAACCATTTCTCCAAAAAAAAATAAACAAATAACCATAGTAACCTAATGGTTATGTTATAATACATAATGTCACTTATTCCCTATTCTACCCTTAGCTTGCGCGTGAAAACGGACCGTCGTTTTCGTCCCCTTTCCTAAATTTTAATTGTAATAGCTTATATCAGATCATAAACTGAAAAAAGACGAGGGAGATCAAGGAGGCGTCAAAACTTCGGTGACTGAAGGAAGAGGAAATCAGAATTCTATACCTCAACCGTGAAAAGAATAGTCGCCGTCACTTGGGCACCGGAAACGCATCCCACCGACGTTAGGGTTTAAGTTGGGAATGGTGTGTTTATGACTCAGAAGACAAGTATAATCATCATCTGATAGGTAAATCCCCAATTTGCCTTCAATTATAAGTTGATTTTACTTCCTCCGACCGTATTACGTCGGTTGGGTTATAACCACAGTCCGGTCATTTGGGAATTTTTTTCCTGGTGTTGTCGTTGTTGAATCCGTCAATTAGAAGCTCTAATCATAAATGTGAATCTTTTCTTTGATGCATGCGGTAGTCGGTGTCTGTCGGGTTGGTGTGTTATTGTCTAATATTTGAAATACGCAGTGTATCGATTGTTACTTTTCAGACCAATTGATTTCAAAAGGATGTGTATGTCTATATATATATTTATGTGTGTGTGTTATAGTATAGCAAATTTTTTGGGTAGATAGACTTTTCTATTAGCAATTGAGTATAATCATTCTAAGGTACCATCATGTATATCAGTTTATTTTTGGGTATACCGTTTCACAAAATTGTTGAGGTGTTTATATATATGTGTGCATAATATAGAACTAGGAAGAAACAAGTGTAGTAGGGTGGTATGGAGGTAGCAAAAACTTTGGGATGTATGCCAAGCTCGCAGACTATACCATGGGGAAAATAGTATAGCCTTCACTTGTTTCCATGGTGACCCGCTCTGATACCAATTGTTGATGTAGTGAGACCAGAAAATAAATAGCAGAAAGTAAACAACACGTTTTCTCTTTTCGAATTCACTAGAACAAGAATGTCTTACACCAATCTTTTCTATTACAAGAATCCTTTAGGATTAGACCAATCCTAAGCTAAAACTCACCCTAGAGTCTAGACTTTTATTTATCAGGATCCTCAAAACCCCGAGCTAAACTCCCCCTGAGTCTAGGCTTCAATCTTCCACTTCTCGGAAGTACTTCACCAAGTACGTCAGCAACTAACGCACAGTAATGACACCAAAGGCTTGATCACACAAGCAACACCAAAACGATCTCTCAACTTTACTTATTGTTAGCAGAGACACCTTTCTCAATGGAGGCACGTCTTCCTTGTATATGTAACTAGAACTTGCTCCTCAAGTTCTTCCAAAAGCAACTTAAGCAACTTTCCTTTTTCTCTTAAGGAATAACTCTCTTGCCTTTTCCTCTTCAAGTAATATCATTTACACTTAATGTAAATATTCCAATAACTATATTACCTCTTCTCCAAGCTTAACAAGCCCACAGACATCACAAAACACAAACTCCAACTTAGCCCAACTTCATGATACACGCATGTACTACCTCCTGTAGTACTTCACGAACTAACACAGAATATACATCTTCAATCTCCCCCTTTTTGACTATGCATGTGCACTCATCACCTTTGGATAGAAAACCACGTCTGCAATCTCCCCCTATGAGTCACATCATGGTCAAAAACTAATAAGAAGATGAATATCCTCCAAAGTGAGGATGACATCCCATACCACCATCTCCATAATGATCAAATCTCCTTGGCCACGTATTCCTGAGCATAACACCTCCATGATTAGCTCCTTGAACAGACCTGAAACAATCACGTCTAATATGCCCTTGAACTCCACAAGAATAACATATAGGACCATGACCCCTTATACCATAAACTTCCTCCATCTGATTCTTCTCCCTCAACAACTTGAAACACCTTGGCCTAATGTGCCCAACAACACCACAGTGATGAAAAATAGGCCGAAACTTTCGTTCAGATACCCTCTTAAGATCAGAAACATTACCCGAAGCAGTCGCTGTAACAGTACGCGTAGCAGTACTCGTAGCAGTCGCCTTCTTCACATAAGTTGCAGCCTTCACTGCAGTCTTCCCATTTGTTGCATTCCCAGCAAACACCTTAACCTCTGGCTTTGTAGCAGACGTAGCTACACCCTCAGTTTTTCTTGCTGATACAAAAACACCTTCAGCTTTAGAAGACTCACCTTTGAATCCAAGACCACATCGATCACTTTGCCCAATGCTGAGAAGATGATCCAACTGATCCGTCCCATTATTCAGCATCTTCAAACCCTTCTGAGTCTCTGAAAGTTGAACACCAGCCTGTCGTGCTTCTTCTTCTTTCTCTGAGGCATACTTAAGTGCTTCAGCCACTTGAGTTTCTAGCTTGACTTTCTCTTTAGTCAACTCTGAATTCGCCTCAACCATCTTAAGCCAATGCTCATACAGCTTTTCATAATTTCCAGCAAGATCAAAGTCTCCATCATCATCATCACTTTCAGCACCAGAATCACTTCCACATGAAGACCCTGACGCAGACGCCGATTCAGATCCCGTATAAGATCTTGTCTTAGAACACGAATCAAAAGTTGTGAACGCCACCAAGTTCTTCAACTCATCACCATCATCTGAATCAATATCAGATTCATCCTTCTTCTTGTTTTGCCTTTGTAAGTTTGCACATTCCTTCCGAATATGTCCAAATCCATTACACTCATAGCATTTTACCTTTGATGATGATCCGCCTGAATTACTTCTTCTTCCACTCTCTCTTTGACTTCGCTGTTGCTCCAGATACTTAGCAAGGTTTCTTGACAGCATTGCCAAAGAATCTTCAGAACTTGAACCCTTGAGAGCAATTCCATGTAGTTCTTCTTTCTTCTTCTCCTTTTCTCCATATGATTTACTCAACTCAAAAGTTTGAAGAATCCCAACAAACTCATCAAAAGCCATCTCATCCAGATTATGAGCTTCTTCAACAGCATAAATCTTTGACCCAAACTTCAACGGCAGTGACCTCTTCAGCTTCTTTACCAGCTTCTTGTCCTTGTACTGCTTTCCAAGTGCAAAACATTCATTCGAAATGTCACACAACTTAGCACTAAACTGAGCCACGGTTTCTTCTTCATCCATCCTCAGATTCTCAAACTTTGATGCTAACATATCCAGCTTGGTACGCTTGACACTTGTAGTACCTTCAAACATATTCTCCAATGTCTTCCATGCCTTCTGAGCTGAAGCACATTGAGAAATCAACTTAAAATAGATTGCATCAATAGCATTGTAAATTGCAGTCTTAGCCTTAGAGTTGCAACTTGAAGCCTTCTTCTCTTCAGCAGTCCATTGATCTCTTGGCTTCAAAACTTCAACCTTCTCATCATTAAGCATCACTGGATGACTCCAACCATCCTCAATAGAACTCCAACAGTCTTCATCAATACCACTGATAAAAGCTTGCATCCGTACTTTCCAATATCCATAATTGGATGAATCAAGACGTGGGGGTTTTGTCATAGACGTTCCCTCTTGATATGCTGCCATCACAAACTCTGTCCTTCTTCCTGAACCAGTTTCTGTCCTCACCCTTCAAGATCTCACCAGTAAGTTAGGTGACCCGCTCTGATACCAATTGTTGATGTAGTGAGACCAGAAAATAAATAGCAGAAAGTAAACAACACGTTTTCTCTTTTCGAATTCACTAGAACAAGAATGTCTTACACCAATCTTTTCTATTACAAGAATCCTTTAGGATTAGACCAATCCTAAGCTAAAACTCACCCTAGAGTCTAAACTTTTATTTATCAGGATCCTCAAAACCCCGAGCTAAACTCCCTCTGAGTCTAGGCTTCAATCTTCCACTTCTCGAAAGTACTTCACCAAGTACGTCAGCAACTAACGCACAGTAATGACACCAAAGGCTTGATCACACAAGCAACACCAAAACGATCT